TAGATAGATAGATAGATAGATAGATAGATAGATAGATAGATAGATAGATAGATAGATAGGAGGGGATAATTGTTTTAAACTTAATAATAAAATAAGACTGTTCATTTAGAGGCTAAAATGAGAACCGGGGTCAGCACTGTAATTACAATTGATATAAAATTCGACATTGTATAATCTGATGTTCTGATTTGGCTACTTCTCATTCTGTGTTAGTTGAAGTTTCTTTGTGGTTGGTGTTACTGTTGAATGATTCCGTTTTTGGTGTTGGCTACTGGAATGTTCATAAGAACTGATACCGCGAAGAGGTTCCAGTAAAATTACTGTATATAATTTCATAAATTTAAGTAAGATAAAAATAGGAGTACTATAGTCACACACAAAAGGGCAGTTTAGTATAACACGTAAATTCCATTACGCAGGCTTTGACTTCAACATCAGCTCATTTGAATATATCCTGATGTGTACAGTCTTACAGTTGTGATATATATATATATCTGCATTACCTATTCCAACGTCAAGGTCTGTATTCAGAATTGGCCTTCCTAAAACTTACGGTCTTCCTCCTCTTTTCTTCTTGTTAACGTAACCAACTGTACTGAGCGAAGTCCTCTTGGCAAAGCTAACAGTTGCTGAGTCGCGCAAGAAATTCGCGTGTTCATGTGACTCGGGGGTTCACTGTCATATTCACCATAGCTGCTGGCGGTGTTATAAGTGAGTGGGTAGGACTCGGCCCGCTGCTGGACCGTCTATCCCCAGTGGGTTTCATGGTTTTCCTCGGTATCTCCAGGATTATGCGGCTATAACACATCAAATTGGGCTACTGTCCCTTTCTTGCAAATCCTTTTACCCTCAGGATTACCGAGTTTCTTTACCATTTCTGTCGTCTGGTATTCTAAACAACGCAATATTTCGGATGTTCGATGTCTCCGTTTTCGGGTGAGGGGTTGGGAGACACCTACTATGTTGGGTCCGTTAGGAAGAGCTAACTTCAATGACTAGATCGTTGTGTTTTTAAATGTTTAGTACACCCTTCGATGAACAGAATCCAAAAACCCAGCAATTCTGTTGTCAAACACCATTGTCAGAACCTTTTAGAGTCTAACTTCCATCCTAATTATTCAATTATTATTATCGGTCGCTATATATCGCTTGAGCTACGTAAAGAGTTAAGTAAAATGTGATAACAGTGAAGTTAGATTATTTGTTTATTTACATGCTTACTAAACAGCTCAAAAACCAGTTATGAAGCAACCACGAGCAACATGACGAATGCAACGAATACATACACACCAACAAAGATAAAACAAGGCAACATGTATCATTCAGGCAATCTGATTGCGATGCTGAAGATGTTTTATTGTTCAGATCGTTGTAGAAGACAGCACACCATTTAACAACCAGCTGTTGATGTGTGCAGTCTTCTTTCATGTTCACAGTTCTTTTTGCGTTTCTTTACTGTCTGTAATTTACTATTTTCCCCCAATTTTATTTTCCCACTTGCCCTTAAGTGTATTAAATACTGTACAATATTCCTTTTTCTGTATTCTCTTTTTGCAATTTATTATCTTCCTGTGCAATAATTTCTCATTCATATTAAGCCGCTTTTTTCCTACAAATTATCTTTTTTCATATTTTTTGTCTCTGAACACCTCAGCAGTTCGTGTTTAGCGTCGCCTTTTCCTGAAGTTAAAGGACAGCTACATTTGCGTGTTTCTCTTCTTAGCTTTCTTAGTTTACAAATTCCTGCTTTCATCCACGCTACACCATTTCATTCATTTCCATTACCCCATTCGTAGTATTGTTCTTCATCCCACGTGTGTTTCACTTCTTGGTAAAATGTAACTGATATTTTCTCTCTGTATGCTTTGCATCGTTGTTTGATAACTGTATTTAATTTGCCTATACTTATTTTCATGCCGATTCTGCCGAATATAAACCAAAACTGTTATCTCCAGGTCCCCTTTCATCCTCAGTGCATAGCTTCGACTGTTACGTTTCTGTTATGGCATTCATA